ATTTGTATACCCAAACAACACATCACAAACATCATCTAGGTAACAAAAGCAGCATGAAGAAGCAGCCATGCAAATTCTAAGCTCCCTGTAGTCTCAGAAACAAAAACTGATGGCTTTTGTTAATCCTAACTTTGTAATAAGGATCTGTCTTATGAAATATTACAGATCAGCATTAAAAAGCCCCAAATAATCACATGCTTTAAAATGGCATTGCAATGAAATGTTTAATGTTCTCCTAAGGTGAAGGAAATCTACTAAAAGCGGTTTTCTTTAAAAATGTGTTCCTTCCTGTTTTCCATACTTGTGAGGCAATTTTCAACTGTGAACATCTAAGTGCAAGCAACATGTGGGCACTGGCATAGCAATCCTGCAGGTTGCAGGGAAATTCAGTGGTGAAGTCACGGCAAGAACGGTGTATGTGTGGGTTGCATTCATATTTTTTTTGGCGGGGGGGGTCCTTTCCCCTCTTTCCTCTGTCTCTCCCATTATGGTAATTGGGAAGGAATCAGCAGCGCCTGGCTGAAAATGAATGCTTGTACAACATCAATAGTGCCTGTTAGCAGGAAGGATTTCCTGGGAAACCTGTTATGCTAGTGCTATTCCTGTTGCACAAATGTTGGTTTCTGGTAACACAACAAAAATAGTGCTACTGGGTGCTTAAAGGTGGACCCTTCCCAATGTGAAGGAATTAACTAGAGGTGCTGTCAGGTGGAGGGGTCCTACCGGTACTCATTCAAAGGCACCATGCAACAATTCCATCACTTTTTTCATAATGGATTTTATGTGGTAACAAGAAAGATGGAAGGAGTGGTAGGGAAGCTCAGGAAAAGGGCTACAGATGAAAGATGATGTTCAGTTTAAAAGCAATCGAAAGATCCCCTGTAAAATGGTTGCTATGTATGTTGTGAGTACAATATCCGCTTTTTAATATTAACCTGGATTACTTTTAAACCCAAAGAGCCTTTGGTCTCCTGACAGACCACATGGCCAACAGCCTTGTGCTTGGGTTAAACCTACACATAAATCCTCCTTCGAATATAAAATTCCTTGAATAAGGTAGGAGGATGGCACAATGCAAGCCTTGTCTAGAAGCATCCGGGGCCATCTCTTGGGTTGCCATAGCTGAGGATTGTTTTGGGCAAATGAAGGGGCTTAGGATCACATCAGGACTTCCCCTTCCCCAGGACACTCCTCTTCCCTCACTGCTGGCAAAGCACCACTGGTGGGACATTACGCCTGCCAAGCACAACTGCCGTTCCTCTTCTGGACATCCTTCTCTGCTTTCTGAGCAGCACTAACACAGCATCCAGTGGCCCTCAGCTGGTCTCCTGGCAGCTGCTTCTGGACCTCACTTTGCCACGAAGCCCGCTGGGTGACTTTGGGCCATTCATGGATTCTCATTGTCCTAACATGCCTCATAGGCCTGTCGATGTGAGGAGAAAATAGAGGAGAAAAATCTTCTCCTCTTGGGCCTACAGGAGGAAGAATGGTGGGGCGCACATGTAATGAAGCAACAACAACAATAAAGATATGTCACGGGCCCACTTGTTGGGTAAATTATCATAGTTTGGATTAGGCCAAGACTTGTAATGTTCTGCATACCTGCAGAGAACTGAGACTGCTTAGTTCAGGGCTGGGTAATCATTTGTGGCTACAGGGACATTTGGCAATTTGCCATAGACAGGTAGGTACCACCACAAAATGCCTGGCAGAGGAGACTGGAGAAGGAAAATCTGCCCCAAACACTGAGCACAAAGCAGAGATGAGGCTCAGAGCCCCGGTGCATGAAACAACTCTTTTGAACCAACAGTTTTCAGTACTAATTCAACCCTTATTGCCAGTTGCTAACAAGAAAATGTGTGTTTTTAATGTGAGGGAGGCTGGACACCTTGGCAGGCGTAATGTTGCCTCTGGCGGGCTTAGTTATTCCACACATTTAACAAAAATCTGGATTAAAATGATTAAATTTCACTGCTGCAGTTAAAATAAAAAAAATAGTTCCAGTACAGGCAAAATATTTGATTTTTTTATATGAAATGTGGGACCAAGGCCTATTACCTTAATTTAGATAGGCAGCAGAGCTGGAGTCCAAGCAGCCTGAGGTGGGGTCCTGACCTGCACATGTCTGCAAAGAAAAAGAGAAAAGCTCCATTTTGGCCCTCAGTTGGAATTGGGCCCTATGACATAACTGGCTGTGTGGGGGACTGAAGAAATTTTAAGATCTTCCCCCGCAGTCTGAACAGGGGTTTATGCCCCAGATTTCCTAGCTCCATATTCTGATCTTGCTTTCTCCTGCTCTTGATTTCTGTTTTTGGTGCTACTCAAAATAGTTTTTAAAGTTTGAAATAGTTTTAGATATTAAATAGTAAGTTGTTTTGGGGGCCCTCTCTGGGTCAAAGGATAGCTCATACATTTTAAATAAATAAAAGATTTAGGAATGGTTCATGCTATGTGATTCTTTTAATGCTGAAATAGGAGTTGGTCCTATGCTAACCATGCTTAGTGGTTTTGTTCATCTGGAAAAGTACTTGTGGAATTGCAACATCTTGAATGTCAATCTTACTTTATTCTTACACATGCCCAATTTGTGCCATATATACCATGTTAAAGAAAACAAACATTTTGTAATAGTGGCATGACAAAATCGAGTTCTGAACAGAAAGTGTGTGTGTGTGTGTAAAGAGAACTGGATGCATGGTGAAGCAATCACACAACCATTTCTCTGCACAAGCTCAGTCTACAAATTGTTGATTCACATTTTGGCGAGAATCCAAGGTCATGTGAAATGGCCTTTAGATCTGCTCAAAAGAAATCCAAATGACAGGGTGGTATAAAACAGATGTCTGGTCTATAGCAGAGATCCCACCATTGTTTAACATTGGGGAAGCTGCACCAATAGTTTTATTTTAGCAAGAAAAAAAGTCTTGGGGCACAATCCACTGGGAAGTTCTTCTACACAAGCCCAACTGAAATGAATGGGATCGATGTAAAAGGTATTGCTTATATCTAGCTCCAATTCACTCCAATGGAGCTTGTGAAGGAAAATGTCCCATCGCGCTGAGCTTGGAGTAGGAAAAGCATTGTCAGCTGTGACATTCAAATATTCCCCAATGAATGTTTGCGAAGTGCAATGGCATAATTCCACTGTTGCTTCTTTCCCATTCTCCAGGTGGTGGCTGACAGAAGTCCAGGGAGGTCACATCCATGAATTACAAGCTTTGATCTAAAAACACAAAAGATTGCTTCATAAGTAGTAAAAAAGAAAAAAGGGACAGCTGCTTTTACCCAGGGCAAGCACTGTTGATGCCTGTGGACAGCACACATACCACAAAACATTCAAAGAGGACGAGTGTCAAACCAGGAGCAGTTTGAATATATCATATAGCTGTGAGCAAGAGTGCACCCCCCTCCCCCCGCCACAAGAGCAGCCCATGAAATGGCAATGGTCAGTGTAGCAGACGGAATGCTGCTTCCTTCCCAGCTTTCGAACGCCAGTTGTGTGAAAGGGGAAAGATTTTAAATGAAGGCTAAGCAACAAGGGGAAGAAGAGGTGCCCCAGTGATGGGGTGGAGGGAGGCTGCCGAGAAGCACAGGTGACTGGCACTCTGGTCTCATGATGGGCTCCTGACAGGTGATCTTTGGGAGCGCCTTCTCAAGTATCTCTAGTTCAGTCTGCTCAGAGAAGCAGTAAGGACATTTTATGGTTTCATTGATTCTAAGGCTTAGCATAAATTAAACAAAACAGCCAATTCTTAAATGGAGGTTGTTGTTATCAAATGGACTATTTAAGATACTATCCTATGCTGGCTAGGGCACATAGCATGGCTGGCTAGGGCACATTGGGAGCTGTGGGACATTTTTCTGTCTAAATCCCCATAGAATTGTGGGTCCAGTGTTCCAAAGTATAGCCAGTACACTCAATCTACAAGCTCCTTAGAATGGGATCCGATTCTAGGAATGGATAAATGGAATTCACTTAGAGGGTGAGGGAAGTTTGTACTGAATTAATCTTTCCTTCCCACAAGTATTTATAGCATGTGAATTTCTTTATAAGCATACTATTCCAGAACATTCTCTTTCAATTTTGCATAATCCTCCGTGTTTCCAACAGCAAAACTGAAGCAATTGTTAATATGCAAATATAGTTATTGATCACTTGTCCTTTTCTTCATCTCAGGAGAACAGTTAAAATAATTCAAATTAATTTCTTATCCTGTTTAGATGTAGCTGTGTTTGAGCATGTGTGTGTGTTGGAAAAAGTGCTCCTACCTATTTTGCATCTTTTTACAACATAAACTTAGACCAAGGATAAGCAACCTGGTGTCCACCAGATATTTTGGAGTACAGTCCCCATAATGCCTGTCTACTGACCATGCTGGCTAGGGCTGTTGGAAATTGTATTCTGAAGGGAACCAGTTTGTTTACTTCTAACATAGATATTTGGAGACATTTTTGACCATTATGCCACAGTGCAATGCCAGCTATGCAATATCTTATTTTCCTTCTTAAAAGTAACATGCAATCCATGCCTTTTTGATTCTTTGAAGTCCTAAGGTTAAAGACAGTATTTCCAGGGGTCAGGGGAGCAATAGCTCTTCTGAACAAGAGCTCTCACCCAGTATATAACCCTAAATCATGTAGACACATAGCTCTGCTCACATCTGAGAGTAAGAATGCTGTTAATGGGATCTCTAAAAGCACACAGGATTAAAGAGGGAAACTGTAGCCCTCTTCAGGTGTGATACTGACATAAGATTCATAAGATTCCTGCTGGCTAAGACCAGTGGCTTATCCAGTTAGCATCCAGTTTCAATCAGTGGCCATCCAGATGCCTTGGGGAGGTCCACAAGTTTGACACAAGGGCATAAATGACAACTTCCAGATGTTTGTAATGTGGTAGGATGGTGCTGACTGCTTCTCACCAGTGTAAGCTGCCTAGGAAGGCCTTGGCAGTTATAAATACGCACATAAATAAATAAATAAGTGATCAAGCTGCATTATTCTCAGAAAGAAAAGTTAATTCTGTACTTTGCATTACACAAAGTACAGATAATGTCCCACAACATTGCATCTGGATATTGCAGCCTTCCCCGATCTGGTGCTCTTCAGATGTGTTGGCCTGCAACTCCCAGCCTGCAGAGCCAATGGCTAGCATGAAGCAACTATGTATAAAGATTAGTTATGCAAAATTAATACAGTATTAAAGTGGAATAAATTCTGTCCTTTTCCACATTGCTTTTAATTTGTGAATTGCCAGTCACACGCAGATTCCCCCCGCCCCTTTGGCACAGATGGGGCAGTGCATTTTTCCTCTACTAAAATGGTGGGGGTGATATTCTAAGACAAGAAAAATGTTATAACTTAGAACTTGTAGGGGTTTGGTTGAGTTCAGTGCTAGAGATGCAGGACATACAAACACTGGTTTGCCAATAAGTGGCCAAAGAGTCTCTTGGGAATATGCGCTCATCTTGACCCCATGTCGTTTTGATTTTCTATCACAGGTCTTGTCAGTGCAAGAAGATAGCAGATTTCATTGCATTCTGTATGCTGATTGTTGAAGAAATAGTGAATCCCTTTCTTCCCGAAGTTTGTAAGGAACGATGCCTCTTTCTGAGAGAGAGAATGGATCTGGGGGTCAGTGAGGTAAATGAGGCCTTTTCCATTACCAGTCACCCAGCCTATGAAAAAAGAAAAGGAGGAAAAAGACATTTAGGGTGCAATCCTGTAAAATCTTACAGAAAAAGTTCTCTAACCCGCTACATGCTCAAATTTCCAGCAAAAATTCAGTCTCTAGTTCATGTTTATGATTACTGAAAATATTTCAAATTTTTCTGTTGTATGAGTTACCTGCACTTATAGGCACGACATATTTGTAATTTTTTTTTTAATTTTTGAGGACATTTTCCTCCTCTTTGGTGTGCTTCCTGTATGAATTTTTTTGTATGTTAAGTATTTAATAATAAAGTGCTTTTAAAGGCTCAGCAAATACATATACATACTCTAGAATTGTGTTTACAAATAGCTGTTGCAGTCTACCATGTCATTTTTCATGTCAGTTTAAGCTTTTAAAAACTGGGCTTTGAATATTTAAGCCTGAAGAAGCTTCTATAATTTGAACAAAACATTACAATACAATCCTACACCGGATTATTTAGACCTAAGCCCCACTGTGATTAATGCGGCTCACTCCCCAGTGTGTGTAGGACTGTATCCACAGCCATTGGCTCAATACGATACTGCATGGAGATAAAATACATCATTCGGTATCCACGAATACAAACCTTGCAAATCAACCACCACGTCTCTGCCTTGGGAAAACTCATAGCAGAAGTGGCCAAAAGCAAGTCCATATTCTGTGGCTTTATATTCCAGCTTTACTGCTTTGGTATTATTAGATAACTTCACAAATTCACCTAAAATATAGGGCTCCACAGTTACACATCCTTGTATAGACTTGCCTTCTAGTACCTGCGAACAAAAAGAGGATTATGCTATGCATATATGCCTTTCCCTAAGCTGTGCCTTCCATATGTTTTGGAATTCAATTCCCATCAGCCACAGCAAGCATGGGTGATGGGGAAGCTGAGAATTGCAGCCAAAAACATCCTGCAGAAGTCTGGTTTATACTTTGCCCACTGCTGTGAGGAGGACTGTATGTTCTCCGGCTCCTTTCATAAGCTCAGCCCTTTACAGCCTTCTGTCCTCTCCTTACCAAGAGTACCATTGATGGGATATAAAAGATTTGTGTTGGGATGTTTTGCTCATACAGCCTTTTGTTGAACTCCGTCACATAGTACTGGGCAGTCATTTGCCGTTCCACATCACAGAAATGGTAGAGAAGCTCCTTCTCTTCTTTGTACTCTTTACCGACATACCTGCGAAAAATGTAACATACCCCACAAACAGCTATCATGTATTCATTTGGGAAACAGATTCACTGAATGGAATACAAGAATGTAACACCTGAAAACACAACCCTGCCTGAGCAATCCCATGTTGGGTGGGGAGAGCACTGTTGAGGAGAAACCATCACTTCCCATGCCCTGCTGAGCTTGTGCTGGTCAGAACAAAAGGCCCAAGGCAACTTTTGACCTTTCTTTGCCCTCTGTTTTTTCCTGATCTGTCCTTCCGGTTGATTCTAATGAGAGGACAAAAAGCTATACTCACTCCAGGGCTGCTATGGCTCCCCTAAATCTAGTAGCAAGTCCAAGCACCTAAGCAGCTCCAAAACTCCCAATTGCCATTGTGCCAGCCACAGCAGCAAAAAGCTCTGTCAGAATGTAGGAAGGGGCTCCACAGGTGGATCTCCATCTCCCCTCTTGGAGGGGCAAGTCTACAATATCCTATGGTCCCTGGGATGCTCCACCTGGGACTGCAATATGGCAGCCTGGGACAGATAGGGAAGAGAGCTCAGGGCCTGTATGACCACCAGCTGTAACCAGCTGCACAATTCCCCAGCTTTGAAGCTGGAGGTCCTTTAGTGCTACAGGAGTCCTTGTGTGTAGGGAAAGAATGCTTCAGTTTCTTGCCAGTCACCACTAGCCAGTCTTAGTCCTGCTCTTTCTGTTTACATCATCTTATCTTGGAGCATGGGCAAGCAGTGAGGCAGAGGGTATACGAGCAAATCCTAGGCAACTTAAATTCAGAACTATGGCAGGACTCAGGATGGGATCAGAGGTTACTTGGCCCCCCAGCTGCTCTACAGCTTCCGTGGGAGTGGACTTCTTGGTGGGATTGCAGTTCTGCTTCGCTGACATGGAAATTTTCCACCTGAACCTCTGCATATTTACTCTGAAAAAAGCCCCAAATTCTGAGCATGTTCCTTTGGGCTAAATAAACTATTTATTCCACTCCACTGACTTTGCTATCCTTTTCTCAGCCGAACTCCACACATATTTGCATGTTTTCTCATTTGTGTTTTGTTTTCTTTTCGTACGGACTTATGATGAGGGAAGGCACTGTTAGAGGTACTTTCCCCATATCTCAACCATAGTACTGAAACAGAGGTGTGAAAAAAACATTCTATATATACTCAGAGGCATCATTTACTTCACTGCTTTTTTGGGTAACATTAAAGGTAAAGGTTTCCCCTTGATGTTAAGTCCGGTCTTGCCTGACTCTAGGGGGCGGTGCTCATCTCCATTTCCTAGCCGAGGGAGCCAGCGTTTGTCCGCAGACAGTCTCCCTGGTCATGTGGCCAGCATGACTAAACACCGAAGTCTGTTACCTGCCCACCGAAGTGGTACCTTTTTATCTACTTGCATTTGCATGCTTTCGAACTGCAAGGTTGGCAGGAGCTGGGACGGAGCAATGGGAACGATTTGAACCCGCGACCTTTCGATCAACCAGCCCAGCAGCACAGTGGTTTAAACCACTGCGCTACCTGCAGTCCCTTGGGTAACATTGGTGTAAAGTAAAAACATTCTAGTAATTCTAACTGTGCATGGTACGTGTGTGCAATTTACGTATCAGCACATGCTCATTTCTGCCAGGGGGCCTGTGCCCCAGATCTCTTAAGTGCCTCACGATATCCTGCTCAGTACAAATCAGCCAGGAGCCAGGCACTAGTTCAGTGGGACATATTTCCAAGCCTCGAAAATGCCTGCCTTTGGCTACATCAAGCCTTTCTGTGATGTCACAAAATGCATGAAAAAGTCAGGTACTGCTGCTAGGTTTTAACCAGCCAATAAAAATAAAGAAATAAAGCAAGGATGGAGCTTGGTGGGACACCATAAGGAAAGCACGCCAGAGGGGTGGTTCCACTGCTGAGAAGACCTAGCTCCAGTTTTTCTTCACTGAAAAATACATATGACAGTCACTTCCAAAGAGAAAAGATAGCAAGCAACATCCATTGTCAGCGCTACTGAACCGGAGCCTAAATAGTCCAGCATTCTGACAGCAGCTGTCTACAGTTTCTGGCAGGGATCTTTCCCATTGCCTACTGTAAGGAAGCTGGATTGCTTATCTGGTCCCTCTGCATGCTAAGGACGTGCTTTTCCCTTACGCTTTGGCCCCTGCCTCAACTTCAAATCCAACACATCAAGAGGTCACCCTGTTTTGAACAATACCTTCCCAGAGCCTCTTCCTGGTGCAGAAAGTGTACCCAAAATGCATTCCTTTGTTTGCCTTTCTTTGCCACATTCAGATAGTCTCCAATATATACAGCTGTTTCCTGGGCTGTCCAAAGCTCAGATTTTTTAGAGTATTTCAAAAGAAGAGCGGCTGGGAAAGAAGACAAATGATTTGACACTTCCTTTGGCAAAGGGTTGTTCCATACCAGTAACCAAGAATGAAAAGGCAGTGTTAACATGCTTCTCTTGCTAGGATCCACATCCTTTCCCAGACACAGAATTATGACTTTTGCTTTCACAGCTTGACCCATAGGAAGTTGCATTCATTGCTACCATGTAGCATTACCATCAGCCCTATTTATAAACAAAGAGGCATAAGGCAAAGAGGGGTGAATTGCTTGGGCACTGCTTCAAAGTGGAAAGGTAGTTCTCACGGCTACATTGCAGAATAACAGAAATTGAAACAAAAAATAGTATTATGTCCTAAACAGAAAGGGATTTCTTGCACTTCCTGATAATGTAAGATGACGACAGAATATCTTTAAAGGTATAAAAGATTTGGGTGCATATGATGATGAGATCAGAGACCTTTATGGTATTCTCCCCTACCACACATTAAAAGAAGCTACAGGGGGTACAGACAAAGTCCAAGTGGAGACTGTGGCTTTAAATTCAGTGAGGCAGTGTATCCATTCTGGGTTTTAGTTTGTCCCTTGCTGACTAAATAGGTTTAGTGCTATGGATAATTTCTTTTAAGTTCATCCTGAAACCCGGAGTGGATACATCATCTCACGGATAAAGCTCTCAGTGACTGGGTTCACAAAACATGTCAGTCCCTCAACTCATGCTCTTCCTAAGGTTTAGTTACTAGCAGTAACAATGTTATACTAAAATATACTATCATTCTATTTTATTTTATATTTTGGTCATCCTTTTTTGCCACTGGACCTGCCCAAACTAGAATGTGCTGAGAACTTCAAAAATGAATCCAGCTCTTGGGCTGAAAAAGTTTCAACATCCCTACAGTTCAAAATCCTTGGTATTGAGATACTAGAAAGGTATGGTTTAGAAAACGCTACTCACAATGTGCTTTATGGAGCAGGTTTGGCTTAAAGAGCCCCATATTCTTCATTTTCTTCATTAGCCAGGTATGTTCAACACCTGACAAAAGCTTCTCATAGTCCTCATTGCTCAGAATGCGAGCTTGTAGGATCTGTTCTTTGGTCTTACCCATAAAGACAAGAGAGCTTCCACTAGAGTTTGAAAGTGAAGGACTACCCAGTTCGGAAAAACTGCTGGAAAAAACGGGTGCTTTGTACCATGACTTTAGAGAAGAGCTTGAGCTGTGTGAGTTGCTTGTAGTATTTCTTAACTTTTCACCTTCATCCTCTTCAGTGGTAACACAATCACTGGATTGATTAGAGAATCGCTTGCTGACCAGCTCTGAAGGAGAATTCGTGATCTCAGGCCTGCCCTTTTGTTGATCTCTCATTATGCTCATGTCGGCAAGGCCCTCTACTTCTTGCTTTCCACCATCAGGAGCAAATTCCCAATCATCTGCTGTTTCTGCTTGGGGATCCACTTCAGGTATTTCAGAGGATTCTCCTGAAGGCATCTTAACAATTGATTTGTTAATCCAAGTTTGTACAAAATGGTCACATTTTGATGGTAGCATGTTGTTGTTAAGGAAAGTGGGCATTAACTTATCATTAGACAGATGTGCATTTATTTCTGCATCTTCAGTTGTGCTTAGAGTTTCACCTTCTGGATCAACTAATGGCCCAAGATTTCTAGATATTGTTTCCTTAAGTTTCTTCAAGCTTTCAGGGTTTTCTGTATTTCCTTTCCCAATGTTGCAATGCTTGTGGTTAGAAATGGCACCAGAATGCTTGGTGCTGTCCTTGGTACTGGAATCCATCACTGTAGAGAAGTTAATTATTTCAAATGAAGTGAGACTTAAAACATCACCTGAAGGATCATCACTATTTTTGGAATTGGTGCTACTGGCTTTCCCAAGTGACTTTAAAGCATCCTTTGTGCCTTCCAGATGTCCTTCTCTGAAATTTGGGTATGATTCTGCTGGTCCATTAGTCAAAGTTATGCTATTCTGAAAGGGATTCTTTAATGGACATGTGCAGTTGCTTTGAAGTTTTTGAAGAGAGAGCTGATGCATTTTGGATGATAACGAGACAAGATCACATTCTTCAACACTTCCTTTGGCATTTTTACTCAAGGCTATAGAGCAGTCTTGCTCTTCAACTTTACTGTTCTTTGTATTATATACCTTTTCTTGGGAAGATTCATTTTTGTCACAGTCAATCTTTTCCCAACTATCAGAGGAACTCAATTTAGAGACTTTGCTCCAAGATCTCAATGAATGAGAAGTTTCACTCCTGCTCTGAGAATTGCTTTGCAGACCATCAGCATTGTTTTCATCTTTTTCTGAAGATTCAGTCTCGTCATCAATGAAAGTATTCCTCATAGCAATGAGACTTAATTTCTGTTGTTTTGGGCCCTTAAGATCTTCTTGATTTTTCCTTGCTTCCTGTGATACTGAAATCTTCACACTATCTTTTGAATGATGCAATCTTTCTTCTGTTGTACATGCAGTCTCCATATTTCTAGTTTCTGTTTTCAAAGCTGTGATACATGCTCCTTCTTGGCTTTCTCCTGATCTCATCTTACGGCTCTTGCAAGCACTCTCAAAAACATCACAGATGGCTTTGTGATGCTGAGAATGCATTTTTAGCACCTTTTCAAAGCTCTGTTCACCATTCACAATTTGTTTCTCAATACCTGTTTTGTAGCTATCTGGAATGTAAGATTTGGCATCTGAATTAGAGAAATTCTGCACTTGCAATTGCTCCTTAACAGACATGACCAGTGACATGATATCCATGGCAAGTTGTTCTTTGTGTTGCTCTTCAGTATATGGTGAATGGCTATAAATGAAAAGCTTCTTCAAGGCTTCTAGGCAGAAATGGTTCACTTGCCTTAGTATCTTGCTCTCTCCATAAAGTTGCTGATGCACTTTTGTAAGGCAGAAAGCTGCCTTGATAAAACTGTGGAGTTCCTGTTGGCTGGTGACTGGCTCTTTGTCCTTCTTACTAAGGATACCAATTTCAAAGGACTCCTTTGCTTCAGACAAATAAAACACCCGCTTTTCTGAGGGACATGTGCTTGAATAGCTGTAGGACAGCAAACATGTCCCTCGGATGTTCTGAAAAATAAGTACAGTTGAAATGAATATAAACTTTCAGATTCATGTGTCAAATTTAAAGTTAAGATTTCATTAAAGAATACTCAAATTTGAATTCCTGCCATTGGAAAGTCTTCATTTTCAAATGATTTCCAATTATTTACATTTTCTTCATTGGTTGATTATATTTAATTAATTATCCTTAGGCAATATGTAAGAGGTGATTGCATGATTCTATGAAATTGCAGTTTGCATGATTAAAATAATGCAAAATACCATTAAAACACTAAAAGAATGCAGTAATAATGAAAAAAGGCAACCAATAGAACTGTTTAAACATACAAGACATAAATCATTACTTGAGATGGGTAATTTTATTATCAACTAAAGGCAGACTGAGCAGACTTGTTGTGAGGTATCTCATGATGATTTCATTCATGTCAATTGCAATTTTTCATTGGCTAACTGGATCTTTAGGGGTCCAGTATGAACCCTTACAAAATGTACTATCACCTTGAAGGCCTAAATTCTCTATAGTTCTCTACAATGTTGAGAAGGGCTGATGTGGGTGTGGACAGAAAAAGAGCCATACTCTCAAAATCTCTGAGCAAAATCATGGAAGCACACAGTACCAGTATTTTCCTGAAGATACAATTTTCTTGGAACAAAAGATAAATGATGTAATTTGCTCTTCATAGCTGCAAATCTAACTACCTATATCCTGATGTAAGTTCTAATGAAATCAATGGGATATGCTTCTATGTATGTATCAGGTTGGGTCATCAGTTATAGGAAACAGCAAATGATAGAGGTGGACAGAAGGTAGATCTTGGTCCACTGATAGATGTCTTGGTTCATGAGCAATCAATTGGCCAGGGTTTCTGATTCCCAAATGTGTAACCAAAGCAACAACACAACATTCCTCCCCAAATAAGGTTGCTGAAAAATAATGTCTGGAAGTAGGGAACTAGGAATGAAGTTTTATGTGGAAGGACTTGTGAGCTTCGTCCTGATGCTGATCACAAATTCCCAGCTGAGCATGAATTCTGATGTTCCTGGTTCATTAACTCTTTGTGCATAGCTGTTTGCTTGAGGTACTGTTTTATACCTGGTTCTGGTTGGTGAATTTCAGGGTTCTAATATAAATCAAAGTTGTTTCTGTCAGCCTGAAGTTTGCTGAGCCCTGGATTAAAGTAAGCAGCTGTCCAAAATGAACAGGTGCAATATAGTAAAGTCTAGGCTGCATTTCATTTGCATCATTTCACCTATAACAACCACAACTCACAGTGCAATTCTCAGTCTGGAATACAAATTGCACAGCAGTGTTCTGCTCAGCAAAAGAATGGGTAGTAAAAAGAATTTCCAGCACCAGAAGGAAATGTAGCACTGAATATTGCACGTACCACTGCTGTGAGCACAAACAGTGGTGTGAACTGGCTGAATACTGATGCCAATTTGCATGCTTCAGCAGCCAAAAGCAACCGATGGTCAGCATCTTTGAGAAGGTTCTGTTGAAAAAGCAAGAAGAAAAGTTTAGGCAGGTTTGCTTTGCTTGATCTTCCTCCACCTTAAAAATCTGCTTGTTGAGAACTGATTCAATCAACCACATTAATACAAAGATCAGGAGTGTGCCACACACATTCCATGGATGTGCCCCCTATCTGTTTTTGTGGTGCTCAGCCCCCTGCCTCCACTTGCTGCTGTTGAATTTTCTGCTGAAATTCAGTGGCATAGCAGCAGCGTGGCACAGGGCAGCGGGACCTGAGAGCTCCAACTTCGAGTCCACATTCAGCCGTGAAGCACACAGTGTGACTTTGTGTCAGTGACTCAGTCTCAGCCTAATCCACCTGTTGTTCAGATACATATGCAGATAAATATGGAGTGGAGCAGAACTATGTAAGCTGCCGTGGGTTCCTCAGAAGTGGACAAAAATTGGAATACAACTGCAACGTTATAATATTTTTTTAAAAGAACCAGTTTTCCATGATTGCATTAAAAAGTAGTGCTTTCCAGTGTACCAGCAAAAAGCATCACCGTGAGCTTGTTTTCCTGAAAAAACAAAGATAATCTGTCCTTTCTGTTGTGGCAAATTGGCAGTGGGTAGCAGGTCAGTGGCTCATGGGAGAGGGGAATTGGACCGCAAACCTTTGGAACTGCTTGGCATAGATCGAAGCCATCTCCAAGATCCAAGTTATACTGATTTTTGCTCCTTGCACATTTTTATTGCTTTTTCCTCAAACAGCAATAATTTGCACTGATACAGAAAGCACTTCACCTTGTTTCTGCTATGAAAATGTGAGTGTCAGATACCACCTGGAATTGCCTAAGTCAGGTTAGCTGGATATACTGTGGGTCATTTGAGGTTAGTAGGTGTGATATAAGAATAGGTACCAGGTTAAAAAACTCAGAGTTGCTTTTAAAACGGTTGTAATCATATTCACTCATTGAGACAAGGATGTCAGCCAAAATGCCTAATGAAGTAGCAATCCCCTGCAAGAGAAGCACAGAGAGACAGATTTCCATTTTATAACTTCCATTTTAGGTTACTTTAAATGCAAAAAGCTGAAACACAATCTCAGACTACTGACATGCTTTTCAGTTTCTTCATGGGGAAAACACAATTTGGTTTTCCACTGGTAGGGAAGAAATCTAGCTGGCTGAAATGGCATGGGGACGAACTCCTTACAAGGATATCTACTTGCATGAGAAACTGGCCTCTGCACTACCAAACCAGAGAGGTAGGACAGGCTGCTCAGCCCCTTTTGTCATCTATTAAGGTGTATTCAATTATCACTCACGATATTTAAGTATAAGCCTGAGCTTCTGGGAACTCCAACCTGTTACTGTTATGTAACAAGAGAGGCCCCTGTTTCAGATCTTCCTTTGATCTCATTGAAAATGGACTAGCATGTAGGCCAGGGGAACACAACCTGCTTGTCCTCGTGGGGCCCATGTGATGCTAGCTGGGGAGCAATATGCATGCACATCCATGCACAACATCAAATCTGATGCAGAGTGCTCTTGCCTTGCTGCTGGCAATGGCAGGAAAGGAGTGGCCTGTATCCCTGGTCAGGGATGCTGACGAATGGAGCTGAGGAGTGTAAGGAGATAAGGTTTCCCACAAGCTTTCTCCTTTCACCCACTCTGCTATACAATTTCTTCTAATTATGTTTGCAGCAAGCTTGCGACCAAGAAGTGGTTGTGGGCATAAATATAAATCTGGGGAATATAATCTACATGAACAGAATACGTAGAGTTCTAGGTAGCATATTGTACTAGAACTGGAGAGGTCTGGGTTCTAGACCCCCTTCAGCCACGGAGCTCACTGGTGACTTTGAGCAATCCCTGAGTCTTAGCATAGCCTCTCTCTTACAAGGTTGCTTGGATACATGGAGAAGAGGAGGGTCAGGTATGCTACCTTGGGCTCCTTGGAGGAAAATGGGGTATAAATGCAACAAATGAAATCAATCCATCCATCCTGCGGATACCAGTAAAAAGCAGAAAATATTCATATTTTTAAAAAAGTCAATTCAATTCATCACCTTTTTGTCTGGTTGTGGAAGTGCAAAATAACCCAAAATAGAGGCCCAAATCAGCTCAGCTGCTTCATACCACATCCCTGAAACACACATATACAAATAAATCATCAAGTAGGATAAAAAATCTTACTGAAATCTTTGATTCTTTGTGAATGAATTTAATTTCACTGATTTGACTAGGGAGATTTCAGGATCATTTCATGGCCTCACAGTATTCCAGCTCAGATTCAGTAAACGTTCATTCATTCTTCCTTTTCTACCATGACACTTTTAAACTAGGGTATGGGATGCATAGAGCTTTGCTAGTGACAGAGATTAAGTCCAGTTTACAAGCTGAGATAAGGGCCTGGTTCATACAATCACTGAATCACAATGGTTCAAATAAATCACCATGGTATCTGTTCCATAACCCCACCCCCTTCTAGGTTGGGATTATTACTATTTACTATATTTATATACTGCCCTGCAGCCAAAGCTCTCTGGGCACAAACCACAAAAACTAAAAAGAGACCATAAAAATGTCAGAAAAATAACAACAAACTAAAAAGTTTAAAACGGCTAAAAACAGCTAAACCAGATGATGAAAACAAACAAGCAGACATGAAGCCAGGCATGGCCCAGAAGTAGAGGCCGGAGCAAGGCAATGGGCAGAGTTTCCAGAAGCAGGTTCCGGAAGGCACAGGGAGCTCCAAAAACATCAAGATCCTTTGCTGCTGAGGCAGCATCTGAAGGGAAGAGCTGGTTCTTATATAGCTCTTCCCTCAGGGCTCCTAAGTGGTGCTTGTAACATCCAAGGTGGCTGCAATTGACTGTGGGCCCAGTCCTACAACCACCAGGGCTGCTATTCTGGTCTCTGGCCAGAAGAGGAAGCCCTGTGCTGCCTCAGAACCTCACACCCTGCACTTCAAAGATGACAGATCTGGCACCAGCCAGGCTGCAGGGGGAAGGTTATTCCATAGATGGGGAGCCACCACTGAAAAAGCCATCCCCCTAGTGGCCACCCTCTGTGCTTTCCTTGGAGTCTGCATTTGGTGGAAAGCCCCAGAGGTTGTTGCTCATTTGAATCCATTGTTGCACAGTGGTTATCATTGCTAACACAGATAATGCAAGAAATACTTAGTATAATGAAGTTGTAAAGAATTATGCAACAGCTTCTGCAAAAATTTGTGGAAGAGCTTGCACAACAATGCATGCAATAGCAAACAGAGCCACAGTACTGGATTTGTCTCTTACATAAAGAGAAACACAGTTTTCACAAGCCATAGAAACTCTGAGTTCGTGGAATGGCATCACTAGATGGAATGCATAAAACAGTGATCTAAAACCCAGGGCATGAAGCAATATAGCAAGGAATGCGAGATCGTTGCATGAATCTAACAAAGCATTGTACCTAATTTCTGTAGAATCTGTCCTCGAATCTGTATACAGACTGACTGAACAAGGATCCTATCGCTTTCTTTTGGGTACTTCCACACACCTGAGAAATAATGAAACAACTGGTTGAATATAATTAAGTGTATTGAGTATAAAAGACAGGGAAAGTGGCAGTTAATGTGGAAAGTTAACATCAGAATGACTTTAGCAGGTCTTGTGTTGGCTGATCTTGTGTTGGCCGTTATGTAACCTGAGATTTTGGATATAGCTATTGTATACCTTCTGTGATATCATTGATGATTGCTTATAATAACAGGAAAAATATGTCTTTGTTAGGTCAGCTACTTCAAAGACACATTCGCAAAGGTCTCTCAACCAGAACCTGGTTATAAAAATAAGTATGCTTCCAAAATTTGCTCCAAATAGACCTAAGATGCAAGTTTCTGCATCATTTTTAAGAAGCACAAAGCTACAACTTTGAGAGGAAGTCCAGAATCACATCATGATTCTTCTTTAAGCATTTTGTTTTTAAAATTGAAAGGGAGTATCCAGTATTGCTACTGCAATCCTGCTGTGTCTGCTGCAAGAGTTGTACCTAAAGACAAGAAAATTAGCACTGGCATCAGGAACCCTGGAAATGAATGGAAATGTTCATTTCTGGAATGGGTCAAAGCAACAGAACTCTAGTCTGCAAGTTCCATTGACCTGCCTTCCTGCAGAACTGAGCATTTTAGCTTATGATTGCTGCAGGTTTTGCTAGTTTCCTGTTGTACTAGTAGCAGGTCCTGTTGCGTGTGAGCAATGTTGGATACTGCCTATTATTCTCAATGGAGCAGTTAACTAGCAAGTTTAGATGTGCCACAGTAAACTAGTTAGGCTCCAGTTCTGCACACAGTTTGGCTGACTTACATTTCATTGATTTTAGCGAGATTTAAGGAACCTCTGCATACATTAAGTGTAGTGATAGATTCCCTTAGCATATATGCCATTCAGCATTGGATCAGCTCCAGATAATTCTAGGCCACACTGTAGAAACATGGATATAAAGAGCAAGATCATTTGAATGGGCTCATAACATGGCTGTTTCCTGTGAAACTGGTGGATTCCATGGAAAAGACCCATGTGCCCAGCCTCATAAATGCCACTGGACTACTGATGTGTGTATATCCCTGCAGTGGAGAATCACACTGTGCTGATGTTCAGAACATGCTGGTAAAAGCAGCCTATATTAGGATTTTTCTGCCATTCTCTTTACCACCCAAATGCACTGAGTAGCTTTTCTTTAAAACTAATGAATAATAAATAAACTAAACTTTCAAACTCATAGAATTTATGAAACGATAAATGAATAAAGATGAAGGTTCAGAATGGAGATGTGCCCATAAGTATATATTTTAGCATGCATGGTGTTGTTCAAAAAATGGCATACATGGATGGAAGTGTCATTCATTCATTCAGTTATTTATTTAAAGTTTTTAATTTAAAAAAGTCTATCTTTTTGACTGCAGTATCAGTTTGAATTGATGATTAAGTAATGATATGCAAAATCTTTCACAATTTCCCTTTCTCCATTGTTAACCATAAGGTTCTGCAATTCTTCTGTAGGCATGGTTTTTGTTTCCTTAAGGATCAGCTGCACTTTTACACTTCTTTCACTTTCATCAGGAGTAATTTCAGTTTATCGCTGCTTTCTGCCAGTAATACAATATCATCTGCATATCTTAAATTATTGATATGTCTTCTGCCAATTTTCACTCCTTCCTCTGATCTTAATCTAGCTAATTATACATCTTATAGCTTAAATGTCAGCAAAAATACATGCTTGGCTTGGTTCACACACAATAATAACTCGGATTTAGGGGTTATCAGGAGTGAAAAAATGTGTTGGATAAGAAGGAAATGCCACTTTTATCTTGACATCTTTGGTTTTTGTGAAATGCTATTTGCCAGCAGTTTTCCTGCATTTGTCCACAAGTAAGAATAATTTTAGACTAGAGTAATGAAGTCTGAATATTATGTCAGTTGATTTCATGCACACAATGGCCTGGTTCACACACACATATGACCCAAATTTTAACATTTGGGGTTATTTGTTTCCATTGCAAACGAAGTGGATAACTCATAGATCTATTCTCCATTGTATGGTTAGTATTATGTGAAAAGCTGGACTTGTTTGGCCCCTGAAGAGCAAAAGAAATAATCCAAGAACAAGCCATGAGTTCCAGTTTTGCACATGATGCCAACCAAATTATGGCCAAATAGTCCATGAATAGTTAAGCTGCTGCCACTTGCAGTAAGAACAATCAAACATTCCTGATAACTCCAAATTTTAAATTCTGTATGAACCATATGTGGAGACTTTGAACCATACACTGCAGTTTGTTCACCAAAGGTAAAAAAACAGAAATGGATTTTCCTTCTCATACTTTAGAGCATAAAGAACACACACTTAAAAGCTGCTTGCCTCAGGCATGTAATAGGTTTTAAACAACTCTGTTTTGAAGACTGAATCAGACAATTAGTACATTTATAAATTAGAACTCAAAGAAGTATAGAAACTGTAACTTATAGCTACCTGTTGCTCCATTGTCATTAATAAGACTACTAAGGATGTATTCAGCCTTTAAGAGTTTCCCTGCAAATAGAGAAGAAAATACTTATAGTATAGATAGTTGTAGTAGTAGTAGTAGGAACCTTTGTATGCTTAATGATATAAATCTACTTATATTCAAATAATATATAAAAGCAAACTGTACTTTATAGAACGGTTGTTTTGCCTCCTTATTCCAGGACAGGGCTGGAATTGTAGGATAGAGAGGCGGCTACTTCCTAGTGACTCCACCCATCATCTGTATCTGCTACCTGAAAGAAGCGGTTATTTCCATCTGGGAAAGATGGGAAACATAAATCTAGTGCTCTCCAGTTCTTATTGCAAATGTGACTTGTAGTTTATGCAAGGCTTTTTAAAAAATACACAACTTCAATTCAGTTTGGAATTTTCCTTGCTGAAATAATCAGGAATGTATCTTTAAAGAACCAGCTCGATACCATTCTATACTTTCTTGGTGGTGACAGAAAAGAAAGTAAGTTTAAAAACCCTGTTTATGTGACTGTGTTAATTGGATCATCATAATCACCAGCAATTTATTTATAATTAATTAATTAATTGCAGCTAGGAATTTCAGGAAAATGCTAGGATTGTGTAATTAAGCTTTTAGATGCTCTTGCTCAGGAGTGGAATCATCTATACAGCCCTGTTTAAAGCAGCAGGTCAGATTTGTCCAGAGACAAAAGCTCACATTAGTTCTCTTTCACAGTGGTCTCTCCTGCTTTCTTCCTCCCTCAGCTCCACCACTCTAAGACTGCATGCTGGACACTTTGTGCAGGTCAGGAAAGGTGAAAGGGATGGGGAACGGGAAGAGCAGGGTCTCCATTTTTAAAAATGGTACTGGGACCATAAGAGCATCATTGCCAGAATGGGGCAATGTAGCTTCTCGCAAGTCACATAGTTCCTAATGGGAATTGGGTAGAGAAAAGGGTGGGTGGAATGTAACCAGCTTTTCATTACCTGAATTTACAGAGATGCGAGCTTGGCGAATCACCACCTGAGGAGCAATAGGTGTTGTGGGCTGAAGTTTGTGCAGTTTTTTGGCAATCTGAAGGAGCCAGCTGGAGCCATCCACCCAATATAAGAATCGGTCAATCAGGAACACAATGGCAGCTGCTGTCTCATAGTCCCTGACAGCAATGGCATCCTTCAAACACACCTGAAAGGAACACCAGAAACATGTGGCAGGTTAGGAATACTGGGCCTCCCCATTGGTTCAGGTCTTGCATTAAGTAAGCCATTCATCAGAAAAATGAATGGCAAGGGTCGCCATGCTTGAGCGTGCCTTTATTTATTTCTTAGAGAAATGTCTATACCACCTTCCATTTGCAAGAGCTGCCTGCACAAAGAAGGGATGCGGTATTGCTTCAAAGGGAGCAAAGGGCGGCAAGAGTGGAACAGAACTGTAGAAAGGCTTTCAAATGTGTGGTCTATTTAATATTAGATTCTCTACCAGTGCCCTGGCTTTTTTACTTTATTATGCAATATTCTTTCTGACTTCCAAAACAAGAGGCGGTGGGGTTCAAGCACGAATGCTACTGACTCACCTACTCATGTGAACACATTGTGGTTGCATCTAAGTTGGCTGAACATAATTCCCACAGAAAACAATGGACTTCAGCCATGGCAAATTTCTCCCATTGATTTTAATGGGAGCTAAGTTTAACTAATTTAGTCTGGATCCAAATGACTCAAAGGGTCTTCACCCTAACGTCTAGTTTGCTTAAATTATTATTTTATGGTGAGGGAGAGGCTCTCTGCATCTGCTCAGAGTCACTTCTCATATTCCAGGACTGAGCTCTGACACTGAAAATGGGACACAAGTCCAAACCTGGAACAACCTACTCAAGTCAAGCACTGCTAATCATAATTATGCCTTGACAGAGAAGGAAGAAATAGACACACATAATTATAAGCAATTTGCTACTTGTTAAATGACTGACTTCTCCATTTATACTGTAACTGACATTCATTGGAGCATGTTACAAAGAAGCAATGGCTTAAAGGCAAGTGGTTAATTATTGCACTGAAACTCTCTCAGCATCCCTTAGACTTTTCATTTTTGCTCTTATATTATAGTTCAGGCTATGACTACATGGCACCACATTGATAACACATCGACACACAACTGATGGATATGGTCTGCAGACTGATTGTACCCTGCTTGTCCTGTAATATTTTATTTTGATTTATTTTAAAACATTTCTACCCCAACTTTTCTTTGGGAACTCAAGGCAATTAACAACAGAAGGCATAATTTTAACAATGAAAAATTGCTGTAAATCCTCCCCCTCCACTCTTCATTAAAACAAAGGAACAGCAGCTGTTCCTAGAACAGCAGTCAGAATATTTAAAATAGTCTAATGTTTTAACTATGCCACAATTTCACAAGGCAGAGACAGCTTCAGAAAGCGCATATTGAAAATCACATATTAAATGCTTTCCGAAAAGGGAAGTTCTTCACAAGCCTAGGAAAGGTATGCAAGACGAAAGCTCCCCTTGAAAAGGGCTCCCTGGGTTTGGGGGCCCACCAGACCCCCAGCCCTGCCTGCTGAATGAAGCCGTGGCTCCAGAAACACTAGTCTGGGAAGAACAGGGCTGGAAAGACCATTATGAAGGGAGCAAGGACTTAATTCTGATTCTACAGCAGTCTTCTCTAACCTGGTGTCTTCCAGATGTGCTGGACAATTCCCAGCACCCCCAACCAGCATGGATGAATAGGATTTGAAACTGGGTGTCCCTGATTTTGGTCCAACATGCTGTCCACTACACCACAATGACTCTTGCAAATTAGCTCTTGATTGATCTATCTGTAAATCAAATGAAAGGGCAGAACACTCCTAAACATTGGGCCACTGATCTATTTCCAGAAATGATCAATACTTTAGAATGTGCATTAGCTAAATGGGAAGGGGGGGAGTTGTTATTGGTCTTTTTCTTCTAATTTCCAAAGGAGATAAAACTGTGTCAATCATCTTCTAAACATCAACAAGTTGCATTAATATAACAGTAAGACTGCCAGATGAAACACTCCTTTGTACATCATAAAAGAGCATCGAGGTCAGTAGTCCAATGTTTTCTCTTTGCAAGTCACCTTCAATGATTAAGGGTAAAAGGGTATTAATTCCCTTGGTGTCCCCCTTGGAGGCTGATCCTTCTCCTTGGCATGGAGAATCAGCAGAGCTTATGAAGGAACATGCTGTTAAGAGAAGAGAAAGGCCAGCAGGAGAGCTCTGCAGAGGTACGGAGCCTCAAAAATCCCTGCAGAAGTTGTGACATCTGTCTAAGTGCCCTACTTCTGCCTTCAGGGAATGGCATGTTTGTGTTTCCCTCCTCTTTCTTTTCCAAGGAAAAGATGAGAAGGAAAATTCTCACATACTGGAATCTAGAAGGTTATTTGCTAACAACACTTTCCTTGGGATTGGATGCAGAATATTAATTTGGTATAGGAAATGTTCATTTGAACTACAGGGACCATTTGCTGTAATGTGAGAACATAATCTTTGCTGAGAGCTCAACAGTGTACACATGAACCTCTTGTGCAACCCAGCTCCTCCTTCCCCTTCAGTGTACACATGAACAAATACTGAAATGGTGTTGCCTTCCCTGCTGAAATAAACAAGGACTTCCTTCTAAGTGGGTGGGTTATGTTTGCATGCTTCAAAACCCTAGTGGATCAGCATTTGTTTCTAAGGTTGCAGTCCTATGCCCTTTGAAGGAATGCAACAGTGTCAGTGCTTGGGATATCCTGTGCTCTGTGGGTAGACACTGGCACTGCAGAAAGAGCAGCGGAGACAGTTTTCACTTCTTCATGCTCCATGTTGGGTTTTGCTCTATATAGACTTCTGAACCCATTGAGAGGGGGAGGGAGTGGGGCTAGATGAGTCACTGGGTACAGCATATTTTATTTATTTATTTATGTAAAACATTTCTATGCTGCCCCATTCGCCGAAGCCTCGGGGCAGCTCACAACATAAATTAAAATATAATACATTCAAAATATAAAATTAACAATATAAAATAAGTCGCCCTGGCCAGATAAAATAAGCAAATATTGTTAACAATAAAAATGACGTTTAAATAAAAAGGTCTTTGCCTGGTGCCGAAAAACAAATAACGACGGCGCCAGGCGGACCTCTCTGGGGAGCGCATTCCATGGATTGGGCGCCACCGCAGAGAAAGCCCTCCTCCGAGTACCTACCCTCCTAATTTCTTTCATGGAGGGTTCCCGGAGAAGGGCCTCTCCCGCAATCTCAAGGGGCGGGTGGGCGGGCGTATATGGATGTAAGCGCTCCTTCAGGTAACCAGGACCCAAGCCGTTTAGGGTCCCAGCCTTTCTACTTCCCTCCCTACCCACCAGAGCACCTCTTTCTTCCTGTAGCAGTTGCAAAGGGACAGGGAGCTATAGAAAGAGAACTCAACTAATGGTCTTCTTCCTAAGGTAGCAACATTGTCTTTGGTAGCAGTTGTCCAAAAATCCTATGGTCCTCGGGAACCTCTCCCAGGACCATAGGATTGCATCCCTAGTGGCTCCATAGGAAAAGACTGCTCAAAACAGAACATCATGCTGGATCAGACCAAAGGTCTGTGTAGTCCAGCATATTGTTCTCACAGTCATCAACAAGATGCCTGTGAGATTCCTACAAGGTCGGCGTGTGGACAACAGCACCCTTCTGCTCATGTTCCCAATGACTCACAAAAAGAGGCATACTGTCTCTAATCTTGGGGGTTCTGTAGCCATCGTGGCTTAAAGCCATTGATAGCCTTATCTTCCATTTCTAAAGCAAACCAAGTTGATGGCCCTCACAACACCTTATGGAAGAGAATTTGATAGTCTAGTTATGTGCTGTGTTAAAGTAAGCTTTTAAGTGTCCCAAGTTCTCTATCAAATGAGTGCATAATTGGCAAAAAGCTATCATGCCTTAAGTTTGCACTTTCCTGAACCTTTGCATGTTCCTGAACCAAGAAGTCTATCCCAAGTTTTAGGTACCTGGTGGCTATTAGAGCTTGTTCCCTGGTGAAAAAGGTATACTCTTTGCTAGTTAGGTGTACAAAAGCAGGAAACAGCAATGTATGAAATGGTAATGCCCTCAAAGGTTCATGGAAACCAACTGGGCTTTCTTTTTTCCTTTAAAAATGAACCCTTTCACACATCTTTAAACCCTTTCCCACAAATAATACACATACAAATCTTGAAGCCACTTCTTAAATTAGGGTTGACAACCATTAAAGGTTTCCCAGCAAGAAATATCTACTGAAATGGGGTTGGGCAGCAGGCTTCCCTATAAAATTGGATCAGTGTGCCAAAAATTTGGAGCAAGTCCAGTCCAAATTTTTTTGCCAAAGGGGCATTGCACTCAGCAGAGGAGCAAAAGAAAAAAAAAAGGGGGGGGGGGCAACACTAACGCACAGAGGGAAAACAAGGTTCTGTCTTGCTCAGCATGGGAAATGGCCACAGTGTTTCCTGTGCTCAGCAAGGATTGCCCAAAATTGGGTCTCGAAAGAGGAGGTGTACATCAAGGCTGATTCACATTTAACCTGACAACTCTCCACTACCTACATACCATCAGCGGATGCCCTCAGGAATGCAACGGAGATGTCTGTGTATAAATATACAGGGGGAAATCGGAGGTCCCCAGTATTTAACCACCGCCTGTTTCCATGTGTTCATTTTAGATAGTTAAGGGGGAAACCTATGGAAGGAAGGCTTGGTGCCGGAGGAGAGCCTTGCAAAGACCCTGGATCGACAGAAAGACAAACAAGTGGGTCCTTGGTCAAATCAAGCCAGGGCTTTCCTCCGAAGGAAAATGACACATCATGGGAAGGTAGGACTCACTGGAAAAGACAATCATGTTAGCGGAAGTCCAAGGCAGAAGGTGAACGGGAAGACCAAATACGAGATGGATTGAATCCATAAAGGAAACCACAGCCTTGAGCTTGGAAGAGCTGAACAGCTCTGTTAAGGACAGGACATTTTGGATGGGAGGACTGGAGAAGCAATTCTCAGCTCCAATGATTGATTCAAACTATGTCAATGGGGCATAGGATTGTTCCCCAATTAAATTTAATCAATTGTGCTATTTATAGGATGCCCCGTATCAGAAAGTTATTGGGGAAGTACCATTCCAGGTTCGCAGGAGTTGGTGGCAGTCCATTAGA